TGGCTCTGAAAAATAATGAGGGAATTCAGTTTAGCAATATTTTTTGTGGTATGTTTGAGGGTCAGTGCTAGTGATCTTAGCAGACAGCAGTTAGTTGTACTGTGAAGTTTCAAAAAAAAAGTAATATTTGTTTGGTTATGTTTTCTTTAGAAGTTTAGAAAGTACAGTACATAGTCGCATATTTTTTACTATTATTTTTGCTATCATCTTCCCATCAGGTTGAAATAAACCAGTTTTTGAAAATTCTCCAAATATTAGGTTTTATGCCATCATTCCTTCTTTAGCTTTATTTTTCTTGTGTTGCTGGTAGCATGATACTCAGGAAAATGCAGAACCCTGATGCTGAGATATAAAATACGTCTAGAGGGTGCATCTTTTAGGGAACTCCTCAAAATATCTTTCGGTTGATAAAGGGTAAGATATTTCTCTAGTGCTACTCATTTAGCAAGAGAATTTCTTTTGGCTTCTTGTTTCACTGCAGAATTACTCGGTATTTATTTCTCTCTGAGGAATTCCCATAAATTGACTGAATTTGTGTATTGTACACTGGGGAAAAAAAAAAAAAAAAACCTGCAGTCCCAAGGCTAAAATTATGACAGGATTTCCATGAAGAGATACCTCAAGTGCTTCTTTAAAAATCCCAGGATTAATCTGCTTCACTCAAAACACTCTTATGAAATACCTTACTAGAAGAAAGCAGGGAAGTGGAAARACTAAAAGTTAGGTGAAGAAAGTTGCCATTTTGTCACTAGTGGGTAAGAAGTACTAAGGAAACAAGGAGGAAATAGGTGGCACATTAAAATCTCTGTGACCGAACTGGATTTAGTGCTGCCAGTTGCCGTGCGGTTCCTGGGTACAAGCCACTCTCACCCTTCCCAGTTACAGAATCCCGGTGATTTCACAGAGCATCTGGAACCTGGTCCAAAATCCACGAAAACGACCCAGGCACCGCAATGTCATTTCAGAGGATTCCAGAAAATGCATCACGGAGGCCCTTACATTTTGTCTGACGCCTGCTCCTTGGCTTGGGCTACGGGGGTTTCTTTAATCCTCTCCCTCAGGAAAGCAACAAGAGACAGTGTTCTCGGAGGCCAAGGAGTAACCTGGCCCCACGGTCACATGCAGCCCTTCGGCAGTCGGTGGAGACACCCGCCAATATCCCAAGGGAATGGGGTCTGACTCCCCCGGGAGAAGTGCTACGCCGGGGCTGAGGAGGCCAAGTACCGGGTTTTGTACTGAGTTGTTCGGAATTGCCGGGCGAGGAGGAAAGGAGTTAGCCGGGTCCTTAAATGATTATTAGCAACTGCTTAGAGTCATTAGGCTGATTTGCAAAGCAGGTGATGAGCGCTAAAGACAGACCCGATTTTAATTAGCAAAAATTACCAAATTAGCAAAAGCTGTAAGGTCCAGCTAAACATACCGACGGGGCTCTAAGATACTCCACACCTGGATGTCGAATAATTTCGACACAAAATAGTTTTTTCTCCCTCTGCCCTCTCTGCTCATAGAGAAATGACAATCTTCTTTCACGGAAAACCCAAAGAGTTTCTTAAAAGTAACATTTCACAGTTTTGCTTGTCATCCGCAGGGAGATACTAGAAATCCCTCTAATCCGGGGTTTRTTGCTAAGTGAGCCGTGTGCATGAGTTGAAAAATACGCCGAAATTTGGTCTTTAAGTGTTTTTGGATCTGTGGTTTGTGTATTGTGTCTGATAAGGCGCAGGTCTCCAGTGCAGATGTTGTCTAACTGTTCCATGGAATAGCAATGTAGATTCTGCATTTTTTATGCAGATTTTTTTATGCAGAAAATGCTATTTTATGCATTTTCTTAAATGTTTGTTGCGTGTCTTTTAAAACTAAGCCCAAAACTTCTAATCCGTGGATCTTTTTCCCCATGATCTTACGCCTCTAAAATTCTCCTAAACATTCGAATCCCAAGTTGGAAGCAAGTCTTCTGCATGCGAGAATATAGGCATATGATATTAAAATTAAAAGGGACGACAAGTCCCAGGCTCTAGTGCTAGAATCCAGTGCTTAATGATGTGCGCATAAAGCGAGATTTGCACTCTTCAAGGGACGTCAGGAAATCATGATGGRACTTTTCCCAAGCAAATGATGCTGCCATATATTTAGCAAGCTGTTACTATCCAAGCGCCAGTCAATTTTCATGAAGTATGAATAACATCTGTGTTTTTGTGTGTGTATCACTTTTTGCTGGTTAGCAAGAGTCAGAGAAGAATATCCAGCAGAGATCATGTGTTTAACAAGGAGTACAAAAATTTGCCCTGTCTTTGAAAATGCTGTAGGATCTACGGGAGGATCCAGGGTAGGATCCTCTTCTGTAGATCCTTACTCAGCATCTAAGACTTCTCTCGGGTGCTTAAAAGGAACTTCTTATAACTTATGGAACATACGACTTGGAATATGTCTGAAATTTATAAAAACGCTTGAAATATGTCTGAAATTCATAAACCACTCAATATTTACATCTAAATAGCCACTAGATAACACAACCAAATACCAACATCCTACCAGCCACTACAGATTAGCTGCCCAAGGCTGTCATTCTCAATAAAGCCATTTCATTGGCTTCTTTATCTTAAATTATCTGCATCTGTGGCATATTTATCATGGTGAGATTTTCCCACTTATCTAGTGAGGTTCACTTTGGGACTCCTAGAACTGATGGAAATTTATTACAATCGGGAAAAGCATGCAAGGCTTTTTCTGCAGATGCATATTCAAAACAAAAAAGGACAGTGTTTTTCTTTATAGTGTGACCCAAGAATATATGTGTTTAATGTACCTTTTGGATGAAGTGTTAATAGAGTCTTTCTCTGCCCTGTTGGAAAGCTAGAAATTGGAAGATGCTGAAGTGTTTGCAGGGAAAACGAACGTTATACAGTAAATTCTTCATTTTTCCTGTCATACAGAAAGATACTTACAAGATACTTACAAGATGTATGGAAAGTTATCTTCCTGTTTCAAAAACGCATATTTGTATTCTTTACTCCTCACCCCATGGGAGTATGGGATCTGTTAAAGAAAAGTTTGCTTGGCTATATCCCATGCTATCCTCCTTTGCCCCTAATCACTTTTTTTTTTTTTTTTTTTTTTTTTTTTTTTTTTTTTTTTTTGTGATTCTTTCTGGGCTTTTCTGGAATCAGAGATTCACATTTGCCCTCCAGACAATCTTATCCCGAATCATGTTGGCTTTGTCTTCATTGCAACAGGGTATTCTTAAAAGGCCCTTCTGGAAAGTTTAGCATAGATACTTCACCACACTGACTCCATCACATCTTACTTTTCTTATTATTTCCTATATTCAAGCATGAAAGAAAAAGAAAATGCACAGCCTTCATGTACCCTGTAGCTAAAAGGCAATTTAGAGAGGTAGCTAGGACTGATATTACAGGAAGTCACAGGTGATGTAGTGGGGGGGGGGGAAAAAAAAAGCACCTTCTTCTGTCTCCTCTAAAATTAAGCAGCACATAAATATTTTAGGTTAATCAAATCGCTCGAAGAGGTAATTTCTCAGGGTTTCTCCAAAAATAATGATATTAGTATGTGTATGGCAGGAGGAGAAAGACCACAGCTGTGAAATATGAAACTCTGAGACACCGTAGATTATTTTGCCTATGTTGTTTCATACTGAGTCAGAATTTTGTTTTAATGTGTTACCTTCCACAACTTGAGACCGAGGTCTTTCTCCTGCATTTGGCTGCTTGGGATAAAACAGGTCTTTAAGCATGGAGAATTTGTTACTTCATTTTGCTAATCTGATTAGGATTGCAATCCATTATTCAACAGTCCTAGCAAAACAATCTTTCTGCATAGTTTTTCTGTACTGGAGTTAAAACATGACCTGAGTCCAGGATTCGGGAAATTTGTGCAAGACATTTTTGGGTAGAAAATAATGTAGCCCCTTCCACCAGCACTACCAGCTATTCTCTGCCCCCCACCCTCCCTGGAATAAATTATACTGCCCAAAATGTGTGGTGCCTTTGTTCACCACTAGTTCTTAGTTGCTATGGAGAGTTTTACTCCTTGATAAACTATATTTCACCTCCTCCTGGTGAAAGCTTTTCTCTTCCTAAACGCACACTCTGCAGACCATGGTCCTTGGCCCCCTTGTTGACTGCACTTCCTCAGCCCACGCTGGTCCTCCCTGGATGTGTTTGTCTCCGCAACCCTTCTCGGAGCTGACTTCGCTCTCCAGGCCCTACACAATGGCCCGACTGCCGCCAGATGCTCTCCTGCTTCTCCTCCTTCCCATTGTGCCTTTCTGAAGGGTTYAGAGGGACAGTTCCCCTGTCCAAGAGCTGCACGTAGCCGTGGCACACGTCTTCTCCAAATGAATGAGAGGTACCCGGAATGGAAGCGTGAACAATGGGATTTTCCCGAGCATGAAGCACATTGCTCCCAAACCCATCATGACAGGCCATGCCAAAGCACTTGAATGACTTTCTTGAAACGAGGCTTTTCTGAAGGCTCCTCCCTTCACTGAATAACATCGCTTAGAAGAAGTGAGACATGAAACTACGCAGGGGCACCCCAAGGCTTTGCAAACACAAAGCAAAAGCATCTTTGTCACCAGACCCCTGATCAGACCCCTGRGCTCTGATCTCAAAGCCAGGAAGGAGCACACTTTCCTGGATGGCACCAGACTTACCCAGCACCWACCCTGAGAATTACAACGGACAGAGTTTTCTTTTATCCCTTCCCTTCTGTGCCTCTAGTGTTTTTGACGGCATTCACAGAGCAGTTTAGTTCAGTACAGCCAGTTCCTAAAGACATAGAGACGAGGCGTACCCTACACAGACCAATATCACCAGAGTTGCCCTGATTCTGCAGGAGGACAGGGTGCAGGAGGACAGGCTTCCCGGGCCACCTGCTAGCACCCTGTACCTGCCGGGTGGTCAGTCACAGGAGCCAGCCCCCTGCACCGCACTGTCTCTACAGGCAGGGAAAACCGCAGAGCTGCTCGAGACTCTCCAAAACTTGGCTTTGCTGATGGTTACTTCAGCAGCGCTTCCTCCAGTGCCAGAACTGCTTTCTATAGGTAAAATCAGCTGACTTTCCTTTTACTTCTGCTAATGAAAGTCCTCCGCCCAGTACACCCATAGACTCAGAGCCAGCCTTGTCTCCCCTCTCCGGGGAAAACAAGGGCCTGGGAATAGCTCCCTCCCCACATCGCGAGGGGGAGACCAGGAGCGTCTCATGGCTTTCCCGGCACTTTACAACGCGGTGGTCCGTGGTCCGGCACCGGCAGAGCCCGGCACGGCATAATCCCGTTTTTCCCTCCTGCTGGGCCAAGCCRAGCCAGTTCGGGGAGGGGGGCGGGGTGTCTCTCGCCCCCTATGCCCTCCTTCGCGGCTTGCCAGAGCTGTTTCCAGAGTGCCGTTTCTTTACTGTCTCTCTTTGGGCCTTTTCTCTCCATACTAACTTTTTTTTTCTTTTTTTTTTTTTCCTTTTTTTTTTTTTTTTTCCTCCTCCCTATAGCTGTAGCTTCGCTGTCCTACCCTGCTCGGCCATGTGTGAAACCGGTTGCCTGCTTTCCTCCAGACCTCTCACAAGCAGCATCCTGCCAGGACCTCTCTCTCCGGCCGGAGACCAGTTTCAACGCGTCGCGCACCGCACGGCTCCTCCCGCACGCCCCCCCGCAGCTGCTTGGCTCGGGAATGGCGAGACGGGCTCACGTCTAACTCAGGCAGGGCCGCACACGGCTGAGGCGCTGGGGCTCCCCGCGACGCCAAGCGGTGTCAAAACCTGCGCTGCCTTTGGTCCCGCGGCGCATTTCTGGGGTCATTTCCCAGCAGGGTCAGGCCCGTTTTAGAACCTGCCTCTGGGAGCCGTTTAGCTTAGATAGCGCCGATTCTTCGGCGGTTTGCAGGTAGCAAAACCCCCGCATTAAAAAAAATATATATATTAAAAAAAAAGAAAAAAATAATAAAAAATAAGGGGCATTCGGAGTGTTTTGTTTTCAGAAAAATAAATAATGAAATAAAATAATGAAAAGAAAAAAGAAAAAAAAAGAGAACAATAAAAGAAAAAGGAGGATAGTGGTTACTGAATAAAATAATGAAAAGAAAAAAGAAAAAAAAAAGAGAACAATAAAAGAAAAAGGAGGATAGTGGTTACTGGCCGAGTTCGGCCTCCCGCCCTGTGTTGTGAGCGCGTGCGTGGGGCGCGGGCGAGCAGCAGGGCGGGCGGGGGTCCCCCCGCGGTGCGCGGCCCGTCGAGGGGCGCTTCCCCGCGCAGCCGCCCCCACCGCCCGCACGGCAGATGGGGAGGCCGCGGCGCGTGGGGGAAGGAGGAGCCGCAGCCCCCGGCCCGGCCGCGGAGGAGGGTCCTGAGCCGAGTTCAAGAGCGGCCCTTCCCGGCGCTCCCCTTGCCCCGTTTCCTCTGCGCCGGCTTCCCCGCGCCTCCCCTTCCCTCAGCAATAGCCCCGCTCTTCCCGGCCTCCTCTCCCTTCCCCCCGCCCCCCGCTCCTTCCCCTCGCTAGAGGGGCCAGAAGGGGCCACGGTCGAGAGCCGGGGCGCACCGCAGCAGCCGCCCCCTCCCGCAGCGCAGCGGCCCCCCCGGCCCTCCCTCCCGCTGCGGCGGCTCTTCCCAGCGCCCCTCGGCCCCCCGCAGCGCCGCGGCGTCTCCCCGCGGGGCCGCCCCCCCCCCGCCTCAGCGGCGTCCCGCTCCGCGGGGCGCGCAGGTTTCGCTCGGCGCCCCGCCGGGCGCGGGCTTGCGGCGGGAGCCGTCGGGGTTCCGCCGGGTGATTGTAAATGGGTTTGACTGGCCGCTGATCCCGAGGTCAGGGCTCTCCTCACTAATCCCTCACTCTCCAAACACCGGCCCTCCTCTTCCTCCCCTCTTCCCCCCGCCTTCTCTCTCTTCCCCGCTCTCACCGACCCCTCCCCCATCCTTTTGCCCCTCTCTTCCTCTTGCATCATTTATCTGCTGCCCCTCCGACGACACCCAAACAGGAGCCCCTCTCTACTCCTCAGCTGCCGGCCCTGCCACTCACGGCACCCCCACAARCGACGCCGTGGGCCCTCAGCGGCCCCCCGAGACTTGCCAGGCCAGGAGAGCCCTTCCGGCAAGGGCAGCCCCTTCGCACTATCACCCACACGGACACACAGACACGGACACACACCAGGCCGTCGGCCGCCCCGACGAGGCCACGAAGGCCCCCACATGTTGCCAGGCGGGGGAGGGCTGTGGGTGCCTGCTATGGGCACCGGGGCAGACGGGCCCCAGAAAGGCCCTGGGGGAGGTAAATCCCTGAGGAAGGCCAGGTGTGTCACTGGGGCCGGGAGTGGGCCCCCTTGAGCTGAGGGGGCTCTTGTGCTAAGCGTCAAACCCCAATGCAGCTGCTGGCYGCGGAGAGGGTGGGCTGGGCATGGGGGAGAGTCTAGGGTTTGCTGTGGAGCGCCGCTTGGATTAGAGACTTGTTTGGTTTGGGGCGATGCGAGGTCTTGGCTTTTTTCATTTATTTCACTCCCCSAATGGGGGGGCAAATGTCTCAGGGTGATAATTCGCTATAATTGTTTGAGGTTCAGCTGCCTCCAGGCTGAGGCTGCCTCCACGGGCACTTCTGGGAGGAGAGGGAGGCCCCCCTCGGGAGGGTATCTCCTGGGTACCCCTGGACGCCCAGCCAAGGAGCATCTCTGGGGGCTTCGTGCCTGGGTACAGCGCTTCCGGGTCTTTGGGGACGAGTCCTCATCCCCTTCTATTCTCCAAGGACATATGTCAACAGGCGTTCCTCTTTTTATATATATATATATATATATATATATATATATATTCACGGGCAATTTTGTGCCCTCCCCTCCACTTTGCTCCCTAGAGCTCACGTACCCCCCCCACACCTCTCCCAGGCGCGGCGCGGAGGAACGAGGCCGGAGGGAGGGAAAGGTTTTCCCCCCGGGCCCAGTGCCACTCCTACGAGCTCAGCGAGCAAGCCACGAAAAAAAATGGGGAGAAATGGAGAGGTGAAGAAGGAGGGAGCAGGGAAAAAAAAAAAAAAAAAAAAAAAAAGAAGTGGGAAGAAAGATAATGTTTTGGAAAAGAGTTGCTGAGTTCAGTTCAAGTTTGCGTTTTGGCTTCAAGTTTGGAGCGGATCAAACCTGTTCTCAAATTGAGCCTCCCATCTTACTCTCCTGGACCCCTTCCCAGGCGAGGGGGACCCGTCGGGAAAACCTCCCGGGGAGGAGGAGCGCAATCCAGCCTCCGGGGAGCCCTGGCCCCGACCCCCCGCTCTCCCTTTAGCCTAACTCAGCAGGGAGGGCAGACACCTCCTCCCCTCTCCATTCCTTAGTCCCTCAGTCCTTAGATTTCCTTCGTTTTACTGAAAACGAGAAGAGATTTTCTTTTAATTCTTCCACATAGGTGATTTTAATAGCTCTGTCAATCACGTTATAGGAGGAACGGTTCATACAATTTTAGATGTAAAGTACTTAAACCATAAATCGTTTAAACCTATTCTTAGTTTTGCATATTCAATTATTCTCTTATATATAACCTGAAAAGCAAAGAGCCAGGAGTCTGAATTATTTTATCGTGTCTGAGCTCATCTGCCTAGCAAAGTTATTTTAACTTTGTTCGTATACCCAAACACGAAGCTTAAATCAGCTTAAACTTCGAATCAAAAAAACCTAAATAGCAATAAATTCTACTTTTATATGTATATATATATATACACACATATATATATAAACATTCGCAAGGGGGATTGCATTCCTTTGGAAGACAGGCTGAATATATCCGAAGCTTATTTGAATATAGTCGAGATTGAGTCAGTTTAATCCCCTTGCGTTGAAAGTGCAGGTATTCCTATTATTCTAGGGCTAATGCCATTGAGCCGCTAAATTGCAAGGGGAGGGGGAACAACTCATTAAAAGGAGCTGGTTTAAGAGGTCCGTATTATTTCTTCCCCAAGATCTATATTTTTTTGTTTGCTCGGACGTATACACAGGATAATTTCCTTTCCTCACTTATCCTCCCCAATACGCTTATTACAACATCCATGTTCAGCAGCACTGTTTCATCTCGCTGTTTATTTTTCTCTTCCCTCTTGCCAATAAATTTCAACTATGATTCTTAAAGAAAAGACATGTATCAAGGTCGCATCGGATCCATACGTGCATGTGCACACGAACATACACACTTCATTTTGGTCATGATGCTATCTATGGCATGAGTATACACATGATGGATATCACATTTCAAGAAACAATTCAACAGGTGCTCAGATTATTCTGCGGGCTGGAAGGTACTCCTATAAATATTTTAAATTACACACAGACTCACGCTTGGCCGGAGAGAACCAGCACTAGCGAGGATTTCCCACAGGTTCCTGCTTTGTGTGCGCGCCATTGGTACACGAAACACTTCTAAAACTAGCCTGCTGACTGCCTGAGCCTGCACACACTTCTGCTTAATGAGTGCTTAAATAGGGTTTTGTTTTGTTTGTTTGCTTAAAAAAAAAAAAAAAAGAAAAAAGAAAAGAAAAAGAAAGAGAGAGTTTTATTACCTGGTTGGAAATCAATAGACATCTTTCATGAAAATTTTGCGACCACTTTAACGAATGAGTGGTTAAAATAAAAATATCAGAATGACTCCAGAGTTACATATGCCAATTGTCATCTTACCATTGTAATTAAAGTGCAATTTCTAATATGAACTGAAGCCTCTTCTTATTAACCAGCTAACGTTTCCCCCCTTTTTTTCATGGATGAAGTACTCACTTGCCATCATTAAAAGAGGCTTTGAAAAGCTCTATAGTCCGGTGCAATCGACGTTTCTACCTAGGATATCAAATATATATATATATTATTTCCTTTTGCTTATGCGTCTTACTACTAATTTCAAAATTTATTTGCTACAGTATGATTTTTAAATTTAACGCTTAATGCTGTTATTACTACTAGAAGTTCACAGTAAAGTTTTAATTTCGGAATAATGAAAGGTACCGATAAAGAGCTAAGGAAAAAATAGATCAAAGTACCGAGCAATATCCTGCACTGAACAAACATATAATTTTTTTTGGTCGACAGCTTCCACATCTGTCTTTAAAACCTCCATGCCAGCTTACGCGTTGTGGATGAGTACACGAGGTGCGCAATGTCCGGCGCTGTTCACTCCCTCCGTGGGGTTTTGGGGAGGATGGGATGGCTTTTAGCATTTTTTTTTTTTTTCTCGTGACACTGAAGCCCAATCAGTTTCGCTTTTAATTGTGTTAATTGGAGGGGACCTTGCGCCTTCGCGGCCCCCGGGGAGCGCGCTTTCGCTCAGGCCCGCAGGGATCCCCATTGGAAATTTGGGCCGAAAGTGGTTCCCAGACCCTGCGAGAGGGTCCCAGAAAGAAAAGTTTCCCAGTTACGGCCCGATGCAAGTGCCAGATACAGATAAAATGAGCAAAATAAAAGAGAAGTATTTCAGTAAGTCGCTTTCTTTAGCAATATTGAACGAGCATCAAAAAAATTCTAGAAATCTACACATCGTATCTCCTGAGTTATGTAGATCAACATACACGTACTTTTCTAATGACATTGTATTTCATTCGATATTTCGTCCTGGCTTATAACACCCTCTCCGATTTCTATGCTTACCTGCTATATTTGCAGGGATACCATGGTAGATATTTCTACGCTTTCGGGAATGTTAAAAAAAATAACAGGTGACTTTTTATTTTTTTCGCTTTGAAATTTATTTAACTCAAAATTGAACGCATCCTTAGAATTTCTGTTTAGCAGAAAGACTTTTTAGTAGACTATATACACAATCTGAATTCCCTCGTAACGTCTAAAATAAAAATTATTTCACAACGCATTTACAAGAAATCATACAAAAAAAAGAAACAAAACCGAAGAGAAAATAAACAAACAAAAATATCCAAATACAATAAACTTTTACAAAACCCAGGGAAAAAAATGCAGCATAAAAAAAATAAATAAAATAAAAACAAGAACAAAACAAAACCAAAAAAAAAAAAAAACCAAAAACGCGAGAACGCTTACAAAACTTTTAAGTGTGGTTTTGGATTTGTCTTAGTACACGAGTAATAAATGAGAACTGCTTCCCCATCAACTTCGACTTAAGGCAAGAAAAAGCCTTTGCAAGAAGCGATCCATGAGTGAAACCGTAGCGGTTCTGCGCGATATAAAAGTTGGCATCGCCTAGAACTTTGTGTGTTTATTATTGATTTTTTTTTTTTTGTCTTTTAGCCATTTTTTTCTCATTCTATCTCTCGTCTTCTGCAAATAAACGCTCTATGTCTCTCGGGTGAACGATAAATACTGTACAAAAAGTCTCAACAAAACACAGAAGTTCAGGCTAAAACTAGTTTCATAAACTAGTCCCTCAAAAAAAAAAAAAAAAAAAAAAAAGGTAAGTAAAGCAATCGTTACCTTTTTTCTCCCTCGTTATTATTATTATTATTTATTATTATTACAAGAACATCAAAACATTTTTCTGTACAAAAAAAAAGAAAAAAAAAAAAGAAAGGAAAAGGCGCGGGTGGGGGAGGAGGGCGGGAAGAAAACAGAATAAAAGGGAAAAATAAACGAGGGGAAAGGCAGAGTGGGGCAGGAGGCAGCGAGGGGCCGGGGGGGGCGAGCGGAGGGCGCGGGCCGGCGGGGCGCGCAGTCCTGCGGGGCGGCCCCGCTCCCGGGACCGGTGCCGGGTCCCGCCGCTGCCGCTGCCCGGGCGGGGGCCTGTGCGGGGCCCGGCGCGGGCTCAGATGTGCGTCAAGGGCACCGTGCCGTTCACGGCCGTGCTGGCGCTCTGGTAGTGCTGGGGCAGGGAGTGGAGGCGGCTCTGCGCGGCCGCCGGATCCGCTCCCTCGCCGGCCGGTAAGTACATGCTGATCATCTCGCGCAGGTCCCCGGGGCACGGCGCCCGCGAGTGCGACGTGACGGGCGGGCTCACGCTCGGCTCCGACTTGACGAGCGAGCCCAGCGCTCCCAGCGCCCCCGACGAGGCCGCCGCTGCCGCGGCCGCCGCGGCCGCGGCCGCCGCCGAGTTCTGGTGCGGCTGGGAGCCGTAGGGCAGCGCGCCGTAGCCCGAGGGCGAGGCGCTCATGTAGCCCTGCGAGTTGGAGATGGGGCTGTACTGCAGGGCGCCCATGTCGTAGCGGTGCATGGGCTGCGGGTTGTGCGGGTGGTGCGGGTGGTGCGGGTGCGGGTGGTGCGGGTGCCCCCCGGTGCCCGGGTGCTGGCTGTAGGCGAGCTGCGCCTCCTGCATCATCGCCGCCGCTGCCGCCGCCGCCGCCACGGAGCCCGGGTAGGCGCCGTTGGCCCAGCCGTTCATGTGCGCGTAGCCGCCGCTCGCGGTGCCGCCGGGGCTCTCGAGCCGCTGCCCGACGCCTCCGGGGCTCACGCCGACGCCCATGGCCACGCCGGGCGGGCCGCCCCCGGCCGAGCCGGCGCTGAGCAGCCCTCCGGCCAGCGAGTACTTGTCCTTCTTGAGCAGGGTCTTGGTCTTCCGCCGAGGTCGGTATTTATAATCCGGATGCTCCTTCATGTGCAGCGCCCGCAGCCGCTTCGCCTCGTCGATGAACGGTCTCTTCTCGGCCTCCGACATGACTTTCCACTCTGCGCCCAGGCGCTTGCTGATCTCCGAGTTGTGCATTTTGGGGTTCTCCTGGGCCATCTTTCGCCGCTGGCCTCGAGACCACACCATGAAGGCGTTCATGGGTCTCTTGACCCGGTCCTGGTTCGCTTTGTTGCCCCCGCCGCCTCCGCCGCCGCCTCCCGCTCCAGTCTGCCCCGAGAGGTTCGTGGGGGCCTGGGCTCCACCAGGGGAGTGCAAGTCCGTCTCCATCATCATGCTGTACATTCAAGTAGCTTTTTTATTTTCCACCAGCACCAGGCGTGAAAAAATAATCAAACATAGAGGAGCCAAGGAGGAAGGGGGAGCGAGGAAAAAAAAAAAAAAAAAAGGCTCGTATCTATACAGATGGAAAAAAAAAAAAAAAAAGACGAAAAACGCGACGAGAGCGTTCGGCAACCTCGCAGGCGAAAACTTTCTCCCTTTTGCAAACCACTTGCGGGGATCGTTGGCGATCTGGATTCAAGCTGTTCAAACAGGTGCAAGGCAAACTTGCTGCTTCACTTTGGAAGGAGGGAGGAGTGTGCAGAGCACTCGGCAATGTCCTTCTCTCTCTCTCTCTCTCTCCCCGGCACACACGCGCATACCCCTCCTCTCGCGCTCTTATTCTTAACAGATCTATTTTTTTTTTCTTTGCTAACTTCGAGAGAGAGGGAGGGAGGGAGCGCGTGTGACTCGCATCCGCTGATCGCAGGTGAACGGAGCAGGAGAGGAAAACCCACCACCACCGCGCCAGGGAAAAAAAAAAAAAA